GCTCTTCTCGCTGCTCTACTTCTTCAGGTGAGAGCTCCATGTTCTTCCTTCATCTGATTTGAGATTTTTCAAGTTCTGGATAGTTGACGGCATAAGAATTTTTATTTTAATCAATGCCGTTTTGCAGCTTTTGTTGTGACGCTGTCGATGGATGGTGCGCTCGTAAATTCAACCAAGGTTCTGATATTCTCTTTCTTGTAACCTTCCTGCCTCAAGTTTTGCCTTCACATTCAGTTTATGCATTAGAAATCCCTGTTTGATTGTTTATGGTATTAATGGGACTGAGGATGTTGCTAGTTTAGAGTTTGAACATAGTTGGGAAAATTACATACATGTCAAAGCAGTGGTTTCTCTATAATTGTGTTTGGTAAAGCATGCCATTCGCGTGTTTGCTTGAATCTTTTATGACTCTGGGCACAAGGATGCTGGAACTTGATGCGTGGCTCTCTTTTCCCTTCTTTGTTCAGTTTCCACGTTTGGAGCTGTTCTGGACATGGTGACAGATAGGTGAATCTTCTTCTACATATATGAGTATAAAACTAGTTATTTGAATTATACAGCATTACATTTCCGTGGTAAACTTGGTGTCGTGCTTTCTTACAGAGTTAGCACAGCCTGTCTACTCGTTATTCTCTCCCAGGTTTACAGGTGAGAATGTTCAATATTGTCAGTTTCTCTTTACAAGCATCAGCTGGCGAGTACTCAATGTCAGTGGCCTGGTTTTTGTCTCTTCTCTTCTTCTTTTTTTTAAACTTATTAAACAGGCCTAGCTTGGCCTTCCTATCATTGCTGGCTTTAGATATTGCTAGTCACTGGCTGCAGATGTACAGGTACTTATTTTCATGGTTAACTACTCTCCTTATGGTGTGCTAAACACTTGTTTAGACTTCTCAAATGTTTTGGTTTAGTACGTAACCGTTGGCTCATTCCCCGGAATTTCACACTCTGTTCTCAGTACATTTCTATCAGGGAAGACCAGTCATAAGGACGTGAAAGACAGCACGAGCTGGCTCTTTAAACTCTACTATGGAAACAGACTGTTTATGGGTTATTGTTGTGTTTCTTGTGAGGTAAATCTAATCGTCCTCATCCAACTCGTCCATGTAGCAGTTAGAAATGCCTTGACACTATGTTTTTGAACTGTTCAGGTTCTTTATATAATCCTTCTGCTCATAGCAAAGAAGCAAACCGAAAATCTGATGAACGTGAGCCCATGTTTCCTTCATTTTCCTCACTGATTGTCCTCTGCTTGATCTCGTCTCGGGTTCTGAATAATTCAATCTTTCAGGTCTTGGTAGATTCGCTGACTCAGATTTCGCCACTGTCCGTTCTTCTGGCGTTGAGCATATTCGGTTGGGGAATCAAGCAGGTTGTCAACGTCATTCAGGTAAAAGGCTAACTCTGTGTCAATCCACTACTAGTAGTAAATTTCTGAAATGGAAGCTCTGCATTTGCACAATGTATATATGCGTTTATAGGGTGTTTGGTCCCCTTATTAGAGTTTTACTATCTCGCTTGGTTTCAGATGAAAACAGCTGCGGATGTTTGCGTTCTTTATGATATCGAGAAGAAGCAGAAGCCCTGAGATGTTTTAACAAACCCACTTCCCTGAAAAGCTTTTTTTTTTTTTTTTTTGTGTACAACACCTACATTAGAATGGGTACATGTATGAGTTCTCATCTTTGTCCATGGATGTAGATAAACCTTGTCTTTGTTTTGATGATGATGATGATGATGATGATGATGATGGTATTTGCCTTTCCTTTTCTTCAATCTTGGTAGTGTTTATATGATTTAGTCTGTAAGCAACTTGGGCATAGTTTCACGCTCTCATTCTGTTGCAAGGAATGAATGATAGGGGTGAGCTTTGCAGAAAGATAGGCTTTACCACATGGCTTCCTGTCAGGACGCCACGTCAGCATTATCTCGTGCGTGGAAACATAAGGCCCAAACTCAGCGGACAAAAACTCCAAACTCGCTATCCTCAAGAACCACTCAAAAGCCTCGACACTCTTGTCTCTCGCTCCACGCAGAACAAAACCGACCGTTGGATCTTCCATCGCATAAGCTTCCAACCACAGAATCCTGGTGGTCTTCCTGTTAGGGTGCACCGCGTCACACCTTATGACTCTCACCAAAAAAACCGAAACTTAAAGAAGGGACCAATGCTTCGGAAGAGGTTTGCTCTGTCGAGGCTGCTTAGCACTCTGCGGAGAATGGCGAAACCGATGGCCATCGAAGTGTATAATCCAAATGGAAAGTACAGAATCATCAGCACGAAACCGATGCCTGGAACCCGCTGGATCAACCTCCTGACCGACCATGACTGTCGCCTCGAGGTTTTGTTTTTTACTTATCATGCAGCCATAAAAAAAAACACATCATATATGTAAAAGCACACAATCTATATGCAGATATGCCATCAGAAGAAGACGATTCTGTCAGTTGAAGACATCATTTCCCTGATCGGAAACAGGTGTGATGGAGTCATCGGACAGGTAATGAACTCCGTTGATCGTTACTCATCAAGAATATACATTCTTTGAAATTCTGTTTGAATGTTACAGTTGACGGAAGATTGGGGAGAGACGCTGTTTGCGGCGCTGAGGAAAGCGGGAGGGAAGGCTTTCAGTAACATGGCCGTCGGTTACAACAACGTCGATGTTGATGCTGCCACCAAATACGGCATTGCCGTCGGTAACACTCCGGTAATGACTCTAAAGAAAAAACATTATCCCATCTTTCATGTTTTGTTTTTGGGTTAGTTCGTTAATAAGAGAATGAATCATTGCTTTCTGTAAAACAAAAGGGAGTGCTGACTGAGACCACGGCCGAGCTGGCGGCTTCGCTCTCTCTGGCTGCATCCCGAAGAATCGTTGAGGCTGATGGCTTCATGAGGGCTGGTCTCTACGACGGCTGGCTTCCCCATCTGTAATATTATTACTATGTTCTCTTCTTGAAACAATATTTGTCCACAGTTAAATCTCTTGCGATGCTGATTTCGTTGTATGTTTGAGTTGGTAGGTTCGTGGGGAACTTGCTTAAAGGACAGACCGTTGGCGTCATCGGAGCTGGCCGTATCGGATCTGCTTATGCCAGAATGATGGTACACATGGCTTTCACAATCACAAACTTCGTTGTTTACTTACCATTCTGAAAACTTTTTCATATACTTGATTTGTTTCTGATATGTAATCGTTTACCTTGAGATCAATATCGAATTTTTGGTATGAACAGGTGGAAGGGTTCAAAATGAATTTGATATACTACGATCTTTATCAAGCCACTCGTCTAGAGAAGTTTGTGACCGGTAAAGACTTTATTTATTATTAGTACTAGTTACGTTGGGATAGAGCTGATTTCAGTTCATTTACAGCTTACGGAGAATTCTTGAAAGCAAACGGAGAACAACCTGTGACGTGGAAAAGAGCTTCATCCATGGAAGAGGTTCTAAGCGCGGCCGATGTCGTATGTTAATGCTCTCTCTCTCTGTTGAGATTGCCAACTCTAGCAAATGTTGGTTAGCATTTGATTTTGATGGTTAAGCCCATATATATAGCCTTCTGTGCTTTGTGTTGGTTAATTAAGGTTTAATATATGGAATGTTAGTTAGCATCTTGAATTCACCTAATAGGATCCGATGGATGTCGGGTGCAGATAAGTCTGCATCCGGTGCTGGACAAAACCACATTCCATCTTGTCAACAAGGAGAGTCTCTCTTTGATGAAAAAGGTGATCGATGTTTCCATCTCTATCAAAAGTTCCTTTTCTTCGTTTTCCTAAGGAGGTTGGTTATGGTTTCATAGGAAGCAATCCTTGTGAACTGCAGCAGAGGGCCAGTGATCGACGAAGCAGCCCTGGTCGAGCACCTTAAACAAAACCCGATGTTCCGGGTTGGCCTTGACGTGTTTGAGGTAATGTAAATGTTTGGATGGAAAACTCACACACACACAAACACAAACACAAAAAGAGTGAGGTATTGAAAGAGATGTTACAGGAGGAGCCATACATGAAACCAGGGCTGGCAGAGATGAAGAATGCCATCGTCGTTCCTCACATTGCTTCTGCATCTAAGGTCATAAAGTCTGACATCATCTGTGTTTCCGTGATCGAGAAAGATGTAAGAAGAAACTCATTGTTTTGGCATTTTATTGGTGGCAGTGGACTCGGGAAGGAATGGCTACGCTCGCGGCTCTCAACGTCCTCGTAAGTGCCATTGCCGTACTTTATTCTTGGGTGACATTATGGAGGAGGATGGGAAATGTGGTAATAATTTTGAACGAATGAATGGATACAGGGAGGGGTGAAAGGGTATCCGATATGGGGAGATCCCAACAGGGTGGATCCCTTCTTGAACGAAGACGCTACGCCTCCTTCAGCCTGCCCCAGCATCGTCAACTCTAAAGCCTTGGGATTGCCCGTCTCTAAGCTCTGATCCACTCCTTATCATGGATCGTGATCATGATGATACGGAACATGTTGCCATCATCATCTTCATATTTATACTTCACTTGTGTTTTCGGTCTTTGACCATTGTCAGCAATTTCAAATGGAGGCATACATTATACTACATTTTCGCATATACGTACACTGTTATTCTTATAACAAAAACGCAAACGCATTTCCGTCGATAAACAAAGAAAACGCCGAATACCGCGGTGGGGAATTCAAACGCAAACGAAAGAATTTTGACAAAAAAGAAAGAAAAGAAAAGTATTTAACGGAACAGAGAGAACACAAACTGAGAAAGAACATAGATCACAAGATGTCTTCCATCACGGATTTCCCCTGAAACTTGTCGACCTTTGAGCTCAGGAACCCTAAGCTCTTCTCCAATCTCTGCCTCTTCATCTCCAGCATTCCCAGTTTCCCTCCCATCACCGTCACTCTCTCTCTGCATTCCTTCGTCTCCTTCTCCTTCGTCTCCAGCTCCTTCATCCTCCCTTCCATCTCCTTTCTCGCATTCACCATCTCCCCCTCACAAGCCTCCTTCTCCACCACCGTTGCCTCGTGCCGGTCGAAGTGCTTCGCCGCCTCCAGAACCTCCTCCAGTAGGGACCTAAGCCATCCTGCCCTAATTTTCACCGACTCCACATCTTTGACCATTGTCAGCATTTCCGCGACGCGGGTCTCTTTCAGTTCCCTCAGCGGCGTCGACTGGAGTTCAAGAACAATGGTCGCTACCGTTTCCAGGTAATACGATCGCGTGGGCAGCGATTGCAGCTTGGAACCAGAGGCTATGTCGCCGTGCTTGTCGAGAATGTACTGAAGAGCTGCTGAGAGGCTGGATCTGACTTTGTAATTCCCGACAGAGACGTATGATTCTGAGATGATAGATTGGGTTTCGTAGTGTTTCAGTCCTCTCATGCGGGTGATCTCGGAGAGAGTGAAGCTCTGGGATTCGTCTGGGAGCTCTGGGGGCTCGTTGTTCTTCAAGTTTTCTTCTTGTTCGCCCGATGATGTTCGGAGTTTGTGATGAACAGGCTGCCAGATAAGAAATTCCATGAGAAACTTAATGTGAAGGTTTCCAAGTGTCGGTAGATTTCTTGTCGGAAAAATGGTCTTTTAAAAAGATAGAATCATAAGGGTTTTCAAAGGTCTGAGAAAAATCCGACAACATCAAAGCCCGAGGAACAAGAGAAATACCGTGCTGCTTCCGGATTTGGGTTTCAGATCAGAGGAGACGATTTCAGGGTGGAGTAAAACAGAGCGGTCGTCGTCTACAAACGAAAAGTTGTCATCACTGCTCTCTGACTCAGCCATCTCTTCCTGTTTGGTCGGCGTTTCTTTTCCACGGCGTTCAGGCTGAAGTATATATAAAAAGAAGACCGGATTTTGATATCACGATTCTGAAAAGGGAAAGCCTTTCTCAAACACATGTGAAGACAGTGAAAGAAGAGAATTACCGTGATGGGTCTAGAGGCTGGCCTTTCTTGAGGGGACAACAGAAGTTCGGGATAGAGAAGTACGGATTCGTCATCGTCGTCAGTGTAGACTGAATCCGCTTTGTTCCCAACAGGATTGTAAGCACGAGGCGATCTTTGACCAGCCGCAAGATCACGGAATGTAGGCTGAGTTCGGGGGATCCTCGGCCCAGGTTCTGGTGTCCTTGCCCTTGGCTCAGGCGTCCTAGCCCGTGGCTCGAGATATCTTGCTTGAGGCTCTGGGGTCCTTGACCGCGGTCCTGCAGATCTTGCACTGCGATCAGGTGACCTCACCCTATATTCAACAGTCATCGGCCTAGTGTCAGGCGTTCTAGGCCTTGTTTCAGGAGTCACTTGCTCGCGGTCGGGAGTCCTCGGCCTAGACTGATACTCGGGTGTAGCTCTGATGTAATGTTCAGGGGTCCTAGGCCTAGTGTCAGGTGTTCTAGGCCTTGTTTCGTGAGACACTTGCTCACGGTCGGGAGTCCTCGGCCTAGACTGATGCTCGGGTGTCGCTCTGAAGTAATGTTCAGGAGTCCTAGGCCTAGTGTCAGGTGTCCTAGGCCTTGTTTCAGGAGTCACTTGCTCGCGGTCGGGAGTCCTTGGCCTAGACTGATGCTCAGGTGTCGCTCTGAAATAATGTTCAGGGGTCCTAGGCCTAGTGTCAGGTGTTCTCGGCCTTGTTTCAGGAGTAACTTGCTCATGGTCGGGAGTCCTCGGCCTAGCTTCAGGAGTCCTGCTCCTAGGCCGATGCTCGGGTGTCGCTCTGAAGTGACGTTCAGGTGTCCCAGATCGAGCATCAGGGGTCATAGGCCGAGTTGTGGAGGTCCTTGGTGACATATCAGGGTCTGTACCTCTGCGGGGATCCAACTGTTGAAAAAAGGAAATATAGAGTGGAAATAAACATGAGATTGACCAAACTTTGGAGGAGAAGAGGCAATTAACAGACAAGGGAATGAGAAAGAGGGAGCATACCCTCGATGTAAAGGGATCGCGCTCTGTGTAAACCGCGAGAGAAGGAGACATGGGGAGAGAGTCGTTCTCTGCAGCGACATTGTATCTCGACAAGTTCTTGGCTTGTCCACGCTGTGGCGTACGCCTATTCACAAAGTTATCGGTGACATAGTCATCCGAAGACGAGTAGGAAGGCGAGTCGTCGGATTCAACCTTCTTCTTAGCACGGTAATAGCTGGGAAGAGGGGATCTGTTTCCGGCTATTACCCGAGCTGGACTGCTAGGAGGGGTGTTCTTGATCGGGTTTTTCTTACCAAAGCCTGGCACACACACACACCAAGGGACGGATAAAGAATCAGCATTTACCAACGAGAGTACGAACGATCATCAGACGAATCAAAAGGGAAAACGGATAAAAATACCGAAGAGCCTCTTGTCCTTTCTGTGGGGATGGCCGGAGGAAATGACGTCGAAGCAGTGAGCAGTGCACTCGTGGAAGGGATTGGCGGCGTTGGGGCAATCAGGATGTACATTCCCTAAGCCGACCTCCATTTCAAAGGCACCTGGCAAAAACCCAGCCTGTCTTCTGGTCAGACCATTATACAATCGGATGTCCCGAGTCACATTCCGACAAAGGGGGACCTCGTCGTTTTGGAAAAGTCAGGTCAACTTTAGAAGCAGTTTGATGTGATGTGATGTAATGAGGAAAACTCCAACGAGGCGGCCGGAAATTGGTTGGAAGGATTCAGCAGAGTTGAAAATTCAACTTATATGATTGTTCTTCCTCCCCATATGAAGAGGAAGTGAAAACTAAGCTTATGATGTTTCAAGACACAAAGAGATCGATCTATACATCATTGAAGAAAGATATTTGCTAGCAAAGAAACATTGAAGATTATTATTACCCAGATAAAACCAATGAACAGCTCATGAAACTAACTGGATCATGGCAGGAGGAACTCTGCCATAAAAACCCAGAGAATTTCAGATCACTCGATACGCACATACATACATGTATATGAAAGGAAAGAAGGGGTGAATAAGAGTACCTGTGATTTAGCAGAGGATGGAGGAAAGGTGGATCCAGGCGAAGAAGGCAGAACCCAGATGGAGACGAATGATCTTTCTTTTTTTTTAATATAATAAAAAGTTTTGGGGATGAATGATATGAAACCGTTGGAACATCTAATCAAGATTGGTAGTTCCATAGGTTTATATAGACGAAGACATAAGCTTTGTTTAATAAATGGACAGGGTGTCTCTCCATTCCAATGTTCTGACCTTTGACTTCCACGAAACTGTTATTAATATTATTATTCAAAATCAACCGGAGAGAGAGAGTTCTCCATGACTTGGTCAACCCTGTTTTCGTGTTTTCTCAGTCCACAAAGGAAACCAAGAAATTTGAATGACGGAGAGTAAGTAAAACGACGAGGAAACGACTCTCTTCATACCTTTTATTTATTATTAAAATCTAATTTTGATGAGATTTTTAATGTGAATTGAACAGTTTAATGGTTTTGAATGTGAATTTAAAAAAAAGAAATTAAGGGATGATGGAGGTCAAAATGCACTTTCTCTTTGCTCTCTTTCCTCAGTTCTGCGTCTCTAAAATTTACTCTGTTACAAATATCTTTGCCAAAACAGGAGGATATTCTTTATTATTATTATTATAGAAAATCTCAAAAAAATACTAAATTTTTTTATTTTAAAAAAATTAAAATTTATATTTTATCATATAAATATTAAAATTTTTAAACGAATCTAAAAAATACCGAATTTTTTAATTGATCCAAAAAGTATATGAATTTTTCTATGATTATAAAAAAATACTGAACCATTTTAGTAATACAAAAAAATATATGAACTTTTAAAATAAATTAAATAATATGATATTTTGTATCTTTTTGTGTCAAGTTAGTTATTTTATTTATTTTGATAATTGTAAAAGAATTAAATATTTGTTTTTGTTAAATTTAAAAAAATTTAATATTTATTTGATAAAATAAAAAGTTTAGTGTCTTTTGTTAAAATTTTAAAATAAAATTTTTTTTTTTTGGGATTTTCTACTATTATTGATTTGCTATTATTATTGACAAGACAGCTCACACTTAGCATTCCATTCGGATCTCATGTGAGTGCGAGATTGGTTATGGATTTAATTGTTTATTTTTTGTTTGCATTAATTACGGCTTCCCATTCCATAAATGAAAAAAAAAGTAAACAATTAAAATATACGATTAGGGTATAATGTGGAGCGATTTGATATTTGCAAAATCCAAAAGTAGAAAAACTTTCAGTGATAACTGAACCACATTGGGGTTTGGTCTTTTTGCCACTTATACGCAGACACATCCAAACAAATCACATTAAAATTTGAATCAAACGACACGCAGAAGAGCATCCGGTGGGGCTAGGCGACGTCGACGACCAGAACGGCTTCACCGTCGAACTTGTCGACCTTGGACTTGAACACGTCCATGTTCATGTTCAGCCTCGAACCCTTCATCTCCAGCTTCCCCACCCTCGCCGCCGTCGCCGTCACCTTCTCCCGGCACTCCTTTATTTCCTTCTCCCTCCGCCTCAGCTCCCCCGTCAGCTCCTCCATCTCCATCCTCCCCTCCTTCAGCTCTCTCTCGCACTCCTCCTTCTCCGCCTTCACCGCCTCGTGCTGTCCCGCGTACTCCACCGCCTCCTTCAGCTCCTCCACCGTCGTCTTCAGCCACGACACGTCGATCTTCACCGCCTCCATGTCCTTCACCACCGCTGCTATCTCCGACACCCGCGTCTTCGTCAGCTCCCTCAACGACGTCGTCTTCAGCTCCAGCACCGCCGCTGCCAGCGATTCCAGGTAGTACGACCTCGTCGAGATCGATTGGAGCTTGGAAGCGGAGGCGATGTCCCCGTACCTTTCGAGGATCGACTGGAGCGTGGCGGACACGCTCGCTCTCACTCTGTAATTGGCCACCGAGACGTAGGACTCCGAGATCACGGACTGGATGTCCTCCTTGGCGGCGGAGGTGGCGGTCTGGAGATCGTAGTTCTTGAGACCGCGCATCTTGGCGATTTCGTGGAGAGTGAAGCTCTGGGAGTCGTCAGGCAGCTCAGGCGGCTCGAACAGCTTGTCTTGGTCGTAGGTTTCGGCAGAGATCTGGAACTTGTGATGAACCGGCTGACCAAATATTGATTGGATGGGTTAGACTAGACACTCACGAACCCGACATAAATCGGTGAAATACGAAGGAAAAAGGAAGGAGACAGACCGTGCTACTTGCAGAGACAGGCTTTGAGTGGTGTCCGGTGACGATCTCAGGATAGAGGTAAGTGGACTGGTCGTCGTCGTCGTCTTCGTCGCTGGAAGGATAGAAAGGAGGGGGAGAGCGGCTTCCAGAAGGATGGACTGGACTCGGAGGAGCACTGTTTCGCGGTGTTATATTGGCATCTGGCTCGTACCCCACCACCTCCATGGTTTCCTTACCATGCTCTCTTCTACGGGGTTCAGGCTGCGAACCAAAAGAAAGAGTAAGAGAGGTAGAGAGAGAGAGAGAGAGAATGGATCAGAAGAGAGAGAAAGGAGGAGTACCGTGTGGTAGTAACGGTGGAGAGGAGGACGAGGATGGGAGTTTGGGATGCGCTCGGAGGCAGGAGGCTTCCGGTAGTAAGGGTCGGTCTCGTCCAACGTCGGAAAAGCGTACTCCGATTCGGCCCTTTTGATGTTGGAGTAATAGTAGGGAGGAGGAGACCTTCTTCCGGCCAATCCCTCCTCCGCCTCGCCATGGGCAGGGCTCGGCGGCGTGCTCTTGCTCGTCTTCCCCATCAACCCTGACATTCACACCTCCCAGTCTCAGTTTGGTTTCCCCCCAATCCCAGTTTTCCATATACACATCTCCTCATCTCCCAAGGAACCAACACCCACCCAGCTATCTATATATAATCTCAACAAAAGCTTTATTCGAAAGAGTTAAGACAAAACCTGATCTCTTTCCTTCCTTCTTCCTCTTGCTTGAACTGAAGAAATCCATTTCCACTGAATCGGATCGCAATACAGAAGCTGCACATAATTAGGAACGGAAGATCTGTCAGACAATAGATATATACAAACACATCTATCTATATATGCACACACACACACACATGCGCTCGTAACCTGTGAATTCTTGAAAAAAGGAATCCGAGATGAAACCCGATACTAGTTTTGGTTCCGGACAGCTGCCGGCGAGAGATGGAGTTGTAATGAACACTTTCCTCCTCTATGATTGTCTCTCCGCTTGGATGTATACAAGAGACATGCGTGTACCAGCCAGATGTGCGATTTAAATAAATTGCAAATTGCAGGAAGCACACATGAGATGATGATATGAATATTCTGACTTTGACTATTCCATTATATATAATATACATATACACACACATAGTTGAGATATCAAATTGGTAAGGTCTAAATCAAACGGTAGTTATTGCTTAGTAGTAGAATAAAATTTTCCAAGACGTAGGCCAGTCAGGAGACTTGGTCTCGGTCAACAGTGGCCACCTCTCTGTTAATTACAAAAACACGGTTTGATGGGGTGGGCTTTTAAATGGGCCTACAGTATTATGGGCCTCGTTTGCAATAGGCCCATTTGGGATTTAAGGATAAACCCTAGCTCCTCCCAAACCGACAATACCCCTTGCGCTCTTGTTCGTCAAAGCCTTGGTCCTCTCGAAGCTTCCCTGCGAATCGCGATCGTCAATGACGACCCGGCTGAAGGAGATCGTGAAGAAGTACGGTAAAGTAGCTCTGGGAGTCCATTTGTCCGTCTCGGGTATCTCCATTAGCGGTCTCTACATCGCCATTAAGAGCAACGTCGACGTCGAATCTCTCTTCGAGAAGTACAATCTCCCTGGCTTCTCCACCAAGGAAAACCCTAACCCTAATCCTGTATCCGATTCGCCGTCTGCGGAGGGAGATGGGAAGAGCAAGAACAAAACGACGGAGCTCGTGGCGTCGACCGGAGGAGCTCTGGGGCTGGCGATTCTCTGCAACAAGGCGCTGTTTCCGATCCGAGTACCGATCACGATGGCCGTAACGCCGCCGTTGGCAAGGTTCCTGGCTCGGATGAAATCGGTCAAATCCGGTGTATGATTCTCTCCCCCAATATTTGAGGGCGGATTTCTTACCAACGGGATATGGGTCCAATAAATGGATGATCGTTACAAGTAAGTCCTCATGAGATGTACGGCTACTGCTTCCATGTCCCCTCTCTGTTGTGTTTTTTAAATGTAATTCCAAAGGAGAAAGAGATTGGATTGGAGGGAGAGAGACTGAAACTGTAGGAACATTGAGTTGAGATATTTGTTGTTTGCAGCAAAGTGAAATTGTTATGGTAGTTGGTGATGTGCTTTGAAATATCAAGATGTGGGCAGGAACACAGCCATTGACACTCTTATGGATTGCTTGCATTCTTCTTTAAGGGGCTGGGAAAAACCCGAAATTTCTGTATACTTGGAATTCAGGTCGGATGCGGCTCGACCCGATATTCTAAAATCAATATAATTACATTTATATCTTTAAAATTTAATTAAATTGAGTACATGTAAAACGTATATAGCTGGACACTCCGTCTAAAATTGAAAAAAAACGAAAAAATTGTAGATTTATATAGGAATAAATCATTAGAAATGATGTGTAAGTGTTGTAAATCTTAAAAGAAATAAATGAAAAAAAAAAGAATTTATATAGCCGATTTCAATGCATGTTGTTGTACAAGTCGGTCTCATGGAAATGATCCTTTTTTTTTTTGTATTATGGACATAAAGCTTTTCCAAGGCCACAATTTTTATATAAATGGAAATAAGTTTGGTTTTTTAACATGATTTTTATAAAATATTATTTTAATACATTATTTTAATATATTATTTTAATAAATAAACTAATTCAATTTATTAGTTAATGATAACTAATACCAATCAAATTTTGGCAAATGGATGATGATGCGGATTAAGAAAATGTGTCATATAGTATGGAGATGAGATGGCTTCACCAGAAGCCTTCAAATCAAACTTTTTTATATATAGATTTTGTGTTGTAATTATATTCCATATGCGATACGTATATGTTATATTAATCCAACCCGTTTCAGTTTATAAAAAAAAATTGAGAAGAACTCTTAAAAATTCTCAAATTTGCAATTTGGTGAAAAAAATAATTCTTATATTTTTAGTGTGTTTAATTATTCCTAAACTTAAAAAAGTGATTTAATAGTTTCTAAAGTAGGTTAAAAAAGTCATATTAATTCTTAATGTAAATTGACCAAAATAACCATGTTATAAGATCCTATGTGGCTCTGAGATATCATAATATGTTAAAATTTTGTACTACATATATAGAACCAGATTTAATAAAATCGATTTAGCAATATCAGTTTGAACCGGATTTAATAAACTCACGTGCTACCGTATATGTGTGTGTATATATATACACCCTATCATATATCATCACCATCACCCTCTCTCCTTACCTTTTACAATGCAACACAAGAAATAGAACACAAAAAAATCAAAATTTTTTCTCTAATCGTGCGTTCATTAGAACCTATATGTAAAATTTGGACGAAGAATTTTCGAAAATTGGTGTTTAACCATTAAGAAAAGTAGAAAACTTTCTTCGAAGTAGCAATATATCCCTAATCAAAGATTGTAATATTTCGGTTCACAACTAGACACAGATTTTGATTTTTCTAGCATTAGTTTTAATAATATAAGATTCTCTGTGATTTTAGATTTTCATCTGGAATTCGAAGAATAATCCATGACCATATACATTGCTGACGAGAGAAGAGAAAACTAGGTTTTTATTGTAACAGATTTATTATTATTTCGAACCGATTTTATTAAACCGAGTTTATTAAATCTGGTTCTACATATATAGTACAAAATTCTGACTTATCTTGACATATCAGTGACACGTAAGATTTTGTAACAATATTATTTTGATCTATTATGATCAATATAATATTTTTTACATAATTTTAAAAATTCTTAAATCACGTTTTTTAAAGTTTAGAAATAATTAGATACAATGAATAGTATATGAATTATTTTTTCACTAAGTTTACTAATTTTTAAGAGTTTTTTCAAAAAAAAAAATTATATGTGAAAGGTTGAAACAATTGTGGGCTTTTTTTGAGGCCTATATTTTTTTTTATCCTTTTACGTTTCTGTTTGAATAGCCCTGACGATATCCCTACAAACAGTTAAACAATAAATATCTTAATTTAATTTTTGGGATCCAAAAATCTAAGCACCTTTTCTATAACATTTTTTTTTGTATATTCAAATTAAACAATCATAATTTTAGTTGTTAGAGCTATTCAATATTGTTTTTGGCACAAAATTGGATTCTTTGTGATATTAATAAGTAATTTCTCCTTTTAAAAGCGCCACAGAATATGAAAAAATAAACAAAAACAAAATTCGACATTTTACTTTTAAAGTCTTTCTTCTTCCATTGTAACAAGACCTTGAAACTTGGAAGCCAAATCGAGGGTGTGCGTGGATCTCTCCTCAATCCGATAAGATGATCGTCTGCGTCGCCGTCGTCGGCCATCAGGTCTGCCTTTCGCTCATTATCGTTCTTCGATCTGATTTGATTTGATCCCGATTCATTGCAATTTCACATTTCGTCTCCTCCTTTTGATCCGAACAGAACAACCCGCTTTACATTCAGAGCTTCACAGAGGCCGACGACGCCCTCAAGCTCCACCACATCGTCCATTGCTCCCTCGATGTCATCGACGAGCGAGGTCTTTACTCTCTCTATCCACACACACACGCACACACACACGCACATCTGTATATCTTTTGTTTTGAGTGTTCCTTGAATCGTAACTGGTTCGTTCCTCTTCATGTTGTTTGGTGTTGTATTATTACCTCGTCTCCGTTTCCGCCTCTTTGAATTCCACTTCTCTGTGTTCTTCCATACCTTTTCCAGGATTACCGTATCGGTTTCGCTTGACAAACGTTAGCTGGTTTTCCAGATCTCTGGGCTTTGACTCTCATAGTTATTGCATTTTTTTTTTTAACTTTTGGTTTGAATCTCTGACCTTATTTATTCAAAGTCGTTTTCTTTTGGCTACTTCCTGTTGTGTGTTCGTCGCATCTAATGAAACCTAAGCTATGTAGAAACCCTTTGATGCTAATACCTTTGTTTTTTGTTCAGTGAACAACCCTAAAAAGTCTGGTACAACGTTGAACGAGGCTTTTCTGGGCCTGCTTTATCCCACCGTAAACTACAAAGTGTAAGCAGATGTGGATTTTACCTCTCATGCAAGCGCCATTGCTATGGCTGCCCTATGTATGTTGAAAACCTTTCATGTGTTCTTGTCCTACAGGTATGGCTATTTGACTAATACCAAAGTGAAATTCATCTTGGTGACCACAGATTTGGATGTCAGAGACACAGATGTGAGAAGTGTGAGTATCTTTCATCTGCCTCAAAATTGCTTTCATGACTTGATTTGGGTGAAAATTTGGCGCTCTTCGTCTATCTTTTGAGGATTCAATCGATATAGTGAGTTCTTAGAAATCAATGGGCTGTTTATAGTGAGTTCAGGTAGCATATAACTAGTAGCGAAATTTCTGGTGACATGGTCTTTAGGAGTTCATCTTGGCAATACTGCAATCCATGCATCTTTCGTTCACTCTTCAACCATTAGTCTGTAGATGTGAAATTTATGCTTTAATTGCATGAGCAGATATGTAACACGATAGCAAAATAAAAATATGTTAGGCCACGCTGAGTGATCCAGACCCCGGCTGTGTTCAATGTGAAAATCGATCAATGACTTGGTTTTTCATGTTCGGTGCAATTATTAAGTAGACTGAATGGGTTGGAGTTTGATTATTGAAAATTATGTGTGGAAATGTGAACAGTTCTTCAGAAGGTTCCATGCTGCATATGTGGATGCAGTATCGAATCCATTCCATGTTCCTGGAAAGAAGATCACATCAAGGACTTTTGCAGAGACTGTGAGGGATATCGTTAGATCGTACGTGCTGAACTGAGAGCTGGTAAGCCTTCTTCTTCTGCTGTGAATCAGCAGAAGGAAATGTCTACTTCCTTTGCCATCCATTGAATCCATATCTTCTGCTCTTCCTCGTTTGTTACTGTATACGATCTCTGCATCGCCTGGAGTATTGCTCGTAAAGCTCTGCGTGTTATTTTTAATATGGATTTTATAAGATATGATATTTAGTGTTAAGAATCCTTGATGTTATGTACAACCGCCCTGGAAAGAAAGAAAAGCCCCAAACCCTGAGGGGACAAGAAGCAGACTGTGATCGAGAATACAGATTAACTATTTAATGTTTCTGTATTATAATGAAATATAAACGTTAATAATATCCATAGTTTTTGGACTTCCATCCAGACTTTATGCCTAAATCATTTATATATATATATATATATCAATAAACCTCATATCTAAATCATTTGAATCATAAACCCCATTTGCAGTCTTTGATCTGATTCTTATCCCTCTTAATTTAGAAAAAGATCTAGAGAATTAGATTATATATATAAAAAAAACCCAAAACTACATTTTGTCAATGATAAAGACTAATAAATATCAGATTAAGGAAAAATTGAATTTACGTGGTCAACATTGACTTTTACATAATAAAGGAATGAATTGAGAGTGGTGAAAGGTGAAATACAAAATGAGATCCATTTGCAATGATAGATAGATCCGGCAGTTAGATTGATCATAATTAACGTGGAGAGACTCAAAAGATATACAAACACTCTGTATAGAGCAGTGGAGAGTCCAAAGCTGGGACCTTCGGCTCCGACCTTACCCACACCGTTGCTCTTTCACGGGTCTTATCTGCCGAGACACACCCTCTCCCGTTACATTGAAGATTACAAAAAAAAGTGGTGGCTTTTCCGTTTTCTCCATTCTCTGGCTGGTTAATCTCAGATTTGGATGAGATGAGGCATGAGGGATGCTATCAGGATTGATGAAACTTCTTAGGGTAAGTTGTTTCTGGCCGTCGTCCGGGTCGGATTCTGGAGGTCGGCAGGACGGACTGTTGTGGTACAAAGACTTTGGTCAGCATGTCTATGGTGACTTTTCCATGGCCGTGGTTCAGGCCAACAACTTGGCCGAGGACCAGAGCCAGCTCGAGTCAGGCAGTCTCAGCACACACGAGTTCGGTCCCTACGGCACGTTTGTTGGTGTTTACGATGGCCACGGGGGCCCTGAGACGGCTTGGTTCATCAATGACACTTTGTTCCATCATCTCAAGAGTGAGTAACAGCACTCCAGTGCTCTTGACAATGTTTGATATTGGTCCTTATGTTCCGTTTTTTTTTTGTGTTTGAATGCATGTCAGGGTTTGCAGGGGACCAACAGGCAATGACAGTTGAGGTGATAAAGAAGGCATTCCAAGCAACGGAAGACGGCTTCCTCTCTGTCGTGAGGAGAGAGTGGCAGACGAGACCACAGTTAGCGGCAGTTGGATCATGCTGCCTCGTCACCGTCATCTGCAATGGGACGCTCTATGTGGCCAATGCGGGAGACTCGAGGGCGGTGATGGGGAGAGTGATGAAAGAGACAGGGGAAGTCAATGCAATTCAGCTGTCGTCTGAACGTAACGTTTGTATTGACTCTATAAGGCGAGAGCTTCAGGCTCTGCATCCGGATGATCCTGATATCGTGGTTCTGAAACAAAACGTATGGAGAGTGAAGGGCCTCATACAGGTAAAACACAACCCATCTGGGAAAGTTTTCATCTTTGAGTGTATGTGTGATTAAAGATTACTTTTTCAAGTTTCGAGATCGATAGGAGATGTGTATCTCAAACGGTCTGAATTCAACAGGGAACCGCTGGTTCCAATATTCCAACTAAGGGAACCGTTCAGTAAGCCGATAATGAGCGGAGAGCCAGTGATAACGGAGCATCAACTGCAGCCGGAAGATCAGTTTATAATATGCGCTTCGGATGGGCTTTGGGAACACTTGACCAACCAAGAAGCCGTTGACATCGTTCAGAATCACCCTCACTGCGTAAGACCGCCCCTTCACTGCCATTTCTCTACTTTTTTCTTTCCTTGATATTGGTCAGTGTGGAATGTGGGTATGGTGGCAGGGAATAGGAAATAGGCTGGTGAAAGCGGCGTTGAAGGAGGCGGCTAAGAAGCGGGAGATGAGGTACTCTGACCTTAATAGGATAGAGAGGGGAGTTCGCCGCTGCTTTCACGACGACATAACGGTTGCAGTTCTCTTCCTCGACTCCAAACTGGTTAGCCGAGGGTTTACTACGACTAGGCCGAGTGGCCATGCTGTGTCGGTGAGAGGAGCACCTTAGGCCCCTTTTGACTCCTCCCTCCTTCCCCATCTCTAACTTTGTATATATATATATATAGCAGAGAGAACCTGAGGTTTAACATCATTATAATTAATCTAAAACACCAGCTCTCGGGGTGATAAATACAGAATCATGCATGACTTTTAATGTTCTTGTTTCTCTTCTGTACACAATGCATTGGGCCAATGCAACGTGAAACGAACAACAACTAACAATACATATATGCGTTAGATGTCGCTGTTCTGTTTTACCCTATGAATAGAGACACCAACAACTGTGAGACGATTATGAATTCACCCACAACGGCAGCTGGGGAGTGCAGCCCGAGAAATGGGACCACGTCAACTTGCAACCAACTCTCAACTGCTGATCCTACAGCTGCCCCGGCCACTAGTCCTCCTACGGTTATAGCAGCCGCTTTGCCTGTCCCACCAACAACACAAAAGCCACACCATAGTTTTCTAAGTTCTGTGTTGTGTCAATGTTAGTAGTAGTTTTAACAGAAGCCAAATTGCTGAACCAGATTTCCAGGAATGCAGTCCACACAATACCTAAATGCACACATAAACACAAGTAGAAACTAACATACCTAAATGTTGCCGTTGCCATTATCTTCCTTTTCTTATGTCAAATTGTCAATGGTATCTCAGGTGTTTTTACATCGAATAACCAGTAAGATCCATGTACAATGCCTTTCTCTCCAGTAGGTATCGGGCTATTGGCTAGCAGATGTGGTCTTAGAAAATTATTTGCGCCTAATTGGCACCAAACCTAGACCTAATACCCTATGGGACCTAAAACTGACTTCACGTGATTGCCCATTGGATGATGTGAGTTATACAGAAGTAAAGGTTTCAGCTTTGAATACCCTTTTACCACCAAAAATCAAAGGTTTCAGCTTTATGATAAAATTCTATTGGCAGAATGTTTCTGCAGTTTCTTTCCTGGTTAAAAAAAAAGTAAAGGAAAGAATTTCGTGGAATACTTGGCAACAGCTGAGACATGGTTACCAGTTCATCCCACAACCACAGGTGGCATGAATTCTGTGGATTTTGCCTATTTCCAATGCACAGATATCTGTGCTGACCTGCTAGAAGCCAGAACAACAAAAGATATCATTACCTAGCTTAACGTTCCTTCTCGTCATGAAGTACAGGGAAGCTCCGAAGCTACTAGCCAAGATCAGTCCAGGTACATCGGCACCAGCATAAGGCATACTGGAAGACTCAGTTGAACTCCCATTCACGTATGTTAAAACCATCAACGCTCCATAGACTCCAGCTTGCAAACCCAGATCGCTCATGGATGGCGTCTCGAATGATACAGGGGGATTCTTCATCGAAGCCTGCATCCACTGAGACACTGACCCTCTTCCCAAAACATTACTGGGTTTAACATCAGCATAACGAATGCTGTTATTCACCACTTTGCCGGATCGTCGTTGGTTAAAACTTTGCATCAGCAGCAAATCATAAGCAGCTTCAGCCTGATACGAAAGGAGTAAACTTTGAATGAGATTCAGAAACTTTAATCGCAAGCAGTGATTTCCATATCGGAGTTTCGATCCTGGATAATAAGAACATAAGCAAGAGGCGTGGAAATTCCGATAACTGAAGGTTAAAGAGCTAAATTTTGCTGATACAAGCCAGTAGGATGAAAGCACACTAAAAAACAAAACTTAGCAGTAGAAAACCCTAATTACAAGGGGAACACCATAAAACAATTGAAGAAACAGTGACCTGAGCGATTGCGTTGAGGTCATCCTTACAGGAAGCAAGGATCGAGTTCTTGGCGCGAAGAATATCGTCGAAGGAGGCGCCTTCGGAGACTCCGAGGACCTTGAGGGCGGTTTCCAGGGACATATCGAACGGCGCCGAATCGTCGGCCCGGGAACTGGCTCTGGCCGCCGCGCATCGACGCCGGGGAGGCGAAATAGCGAGCGACCTGCAAGGATCGATCTTGACGGAAATGAAGGGATGAACCTTGTGAGGATGGAGGTTCGAACCGGGGATGAGCGGGTTGGGTCGGACGGAGAGAGAAGCGGCTGCCATTCTTTCCTCGTGAGGAAACCTTGAGGCATGGGCTTATTTGAGGAGAGGAGAGAGACAACGTCAACGACAGCCGTTGGATCTTTGAATCTCCACCGTCGGATCGTCATTCCTCCATTTCTTGATTAGCAAAGGTGGTCCTTTGGCATATTATTTTCATGTTTATCCATAACCAGAGCTTCATAGTCGCTGTAGTTTGACCACGTCGGTCTACACGAGAGGTGGATCATATCTAAATTTTTCTTAATACTGTAATTCATCACCATTTCATTATGATAATTATTAATTAATGTTGGCAATTTGTTTCATGGAGAAAAAAATATTTACAGAAACAATATATATATATATGTATGTTTATTACATTATTCATTTGTTTCCCTTGTGTTTCTGTCCAATCTGTTATTTGTTTCTTAAGGTAATTTCTTTCCCTTCCATTATTGGGTGGATTTTTTCTCTTTTCTTTTCCACTTATTTATTTCTCTAGTTCATAGTCCATCATAGATCTCAGCCGGCTCTCTCTCCTTCTCTCTCGTTCGTCCTGTCGCAGATCTTTGGATCTAAAGGTACAGCCTCTACCCAATCTCGTATTCGTCGAATCGCTCTTTGTTTTTGAACATTTTCTCTTTTTTGTTGGATCCTCAACCGCAATTTCTGCCGATTTGTTGCGGTTAGTTCTGGGTTTGATTCTGTAAGAGGGAAATTGCCTGATCCGGCTGAGAAATCTATTGAGGGCTTCAAAAGAGGGTGAAACTAAGGAAAGCTCGATTAATCCGGAGCGGAAGTAGAATAACGTATTCAATCAATCAATCCGGCGAAGTTTAAGCGTTGTGGTGGATTTCGACTCATTTTCTCCTATCCGTCACGAGTTGCTGGAATTTAACCTGAAACTTCAAGCTTTTTTAATCTTGTCATACGTATCTCGGATTATTTTGGATTTTGACTTATTTAAGTCTGTAGCAATGTTGAGTTTTGTAGTGAAAAGAGAAAACTTTTGAGATTGGGTATACTGAAATTTTGTTTACTTTGGTTTGATTTGTGAAGATCGGAAATGGGTGCTGCTGAAAACAACCTTGGGATGGAAGAGGGTACCCTGGAGATCGGCATGGGTAAGTGTTAGATGAGTGGTCATAGACATGTGTAATTGCTGTTCTTAATATTTGATGGTCGAGTTGAAAATGTGAATTATTGTTCGATCCAGTGAGAGAAATGGTATCCATGGCAGAGAACTAGGATGAGATCTAAAATGCCGTTGGAGTAGATGATCTTGCTGTTGTATCATGATTATCGTAGTTGTGGAGATATCTGTTAGGTCTGCAACATGGTTCTTTTCTTTTTCTTTGACATTTTTTTCTTAACTGCAGAGTATAGGACGGTCTCAGGTGTTGCTGGACCTCTTGTCATCCTTGACAAAGTGAAGGTATATATGCTTTGAGTCATTTTGATTTCCATTTTTCATTTTTAAGATTCCTGTTAGCTGTGTTTTATTTTTGTTGATCCATGTCTCATCTGGTTTCTGGTTCTAGGGTCCTAAATACCAAGAAATTGTCAATATTCGTCTTGGGGATGGAACTACTCGACGTGGCCAAGTTCTTGAAGTTGACGGGGAGAAAGCTGTTGTTCAGGTTCGAATCTGTCGTATTAGCTTTCTTCAGGTTTAGTCTCATGTAAATGTATGACATCTATTTGAATGATAATCTGTATGTAACTTAGATCCTAGTTGCTAATTTCTGTGTTCTCAGGGTTTGGTTTATGGTTATACATCTACAGGCTTAATGCATTGTGTTTCTTGACCAGGTCTTTGAGGGAACATCTGGAATTGACAACAAGTACACAACTGTGCAATTTACAGGAGAGGTATGAAATGTGTTCTCTTTCCTGTACATAGTTGAATGTTCTGGTTGACTTACCCGTATATGATGTCGTTTTGGTGCTGGTACTTTTTGCTCTCTGACTTTTTCCATATGTTTTTCATAGGTTTTGAAAACTCCTGTCTCGTTGGATATGCTTGGCCGCATCTTCAATGGCTCAGGAAAGCCAATCGACAACGGTCCTCCTATATTGCCGGAGGCTTACTTAGATATATCTGGTGTGTACTTTGGCCACTTATCAAATAATCAGCTCTAGTAATTCGCAGGGTGCAAACTGTTTTCATCTCTTCTTTCTCCAGGAAGTTCTATCAATCCTAGTGAGAGAACATACCCCGAAGAGATGATTCAGACGGGGATATCCACCATTGATGTCATGAACTCGATTGCCAGAGGACAGAAGATTCCCCTCTTTTCTGCTGCTGGTCTTCCTCACAATGAGATTGCTGCTCAGATTTGTCGTCAGGCTGGCTTGGTTAAGCGGTTAGAGAAGTCTGATAATCTTCTTGAGGTATAACCTTTAACCATTGGCAATTGGAGTTTACTGATGGAAGTACATTGTTGGTCATACGATTAAGACATGGTTGCCTAATTCCTACTGATTTTCAAGAAATATAGGGGGTTGAGCATTATTATGTTCATGCTTTAATCTTTTCTAGATTAAGCCACTTCAACAATCCATTCAACTCAATATAACTCTTGCCTTATTCTTGTTACTGCCATCTTTTGTGCAGTGCTGATCGTTTAACATGTCTTACCAAGTATCATGTTAGTTCAATTTATGTGAATTTGCAGGACCAGGAAGAGGATAACTTTGCCATTGTGTTTGCGGCTATGGGTGTGAACATGGAGACGGCACAGTTTTTCAAACGTGATTTCGAGGAGAACGGATCGATGGAGAGAGTGACACTTTTCCTGAACTTGGCAAGTCTTTCAATCATACTATGAATGTCCTAATAGGGATTACAGTCCTTGTGTGTTTTTTTATTGCCTATTACTCTCTGAAGCTTTCTCATTCTGTTTCGTTACAGGCAAATGACCCCACTATTGAACGTATCATCACTCCTCGTATTGCTCTCACTACAGCTGAGTACTTAGCATATGAATGTGGCAAGCATGTTCTTGTCATTCTCACAGACATGAGTTCTTATGCTGATGCTCTTCGTGAGGTGACAACGGATATCATCATGTTCTGTTTATAACACAATTACTTTTTTTGAATTGATAGAAAACGTGACTTGTTTAAATGCTGATAACCATCCTAGGTTTCTGCTGCCCGTGAAGAAGTGCCCGGAAGACGTGGATACCCAGGTTACATGTACACTGACTTGGCCACGATATATGAAAGAGCTGGAAGAATTGAAGGGAGGAAAGGATCCATCACTCAGATTCCAATTCTTACTATGCCTAACGATGGTAAATACAATTTTCTTGTTTCAAGGTGCTGTAGTAGTTTTTGATTTATTGCACTAGGTATCAGTCCTTATGGTTTTCAGTCTACATAGTGTCAGCTGAAGAGATCAATAGCTGGTAGTCAAGCTGTGTGGTTATTACTCGGGCTGATATAATTAGCTATGCAAACTTTGTATATTAGCCATATACTCATAATTCTCGTTTGATATTGCTTCCATGAAACCTTCATTAACAAATAGAAAAAATTTCTAGTGTTAGTCTAGATTAATATAGTGAAAGATGGAACAATATTTTGATAGGTCTCGTGTAAGGGTTGTGGGTCAGTGGATGATACTGTGGAGCAGACTTTGATTTCTTTCTCTTGTATCGTCAGATATTACACATCCCACACCAGACCTTACGGGATACATCACTGAGGGCCAGATCTATATCGACAGGCAGCTCTATAATAGACAGGTAAGTATCTTGCTGAAGATGATTTTTTTCCTACATGGTTATTCGAAAAAGGCCGAGATTAAGTAATGAAGAATCATCTTTGCAAAAAACATGAATGCAGAGAAGTTTATGTTGAGTAATAATAACATATGTATTTGCTTCTTTTTTTCTTTCACAGATATATCCGCCGATCAATGTCCTTCCATCTCTGTCTCGTCTCATGAAGGTAAAAGCAAAGGGGGAATGTGTTTGATGTGAGTACTAATTCGACACAGAGGTATAATTTTAGTGATTAATTTGACTATTGTGTGATTGCAGAGTGCCATTGGTGAAGGGATGACTCGGAGGGACCACGCAGATGTTTCTAATCAGGTATGCTCTACCCTTTCTTGTCGCCTAACACAATGACACGCACATGAAACTAACTTAAGTAGCTGAACCGAACTTATGGGGTTGTCTTTTGAATATAAAACAGCTGTATGCAAATTATGCAATTGGGAAGGACGTGCAGGCAATGAAAGCTGTGGTCGGAGAAGAAGCTCTGTCGTCTGAGGATCTGGTCTCTCTTTCTCTCTCTCACTTGAAAGACATTATAACCTTTTTCTCAGTATCTGAAATTACCTTCTTTTTTTTGCCTATATGGATGATTGAATGAAACAGCTGTATCTGGAGTTTTTGGACAAATTCGAAAGGAAGTTTGTGACGCAGGGAGCGTATGATACGCGTAACATATTCCAGTCGCTGGATTTGGCATGGACCCTCCTCAGGATCTTCCCCCGCGAGTTGCTTCACCGTATTCCCGCCAAAACCCTCGACCTGTTCTACAGCCGCGACTCCTCCAACTGATAGGATCGGTATTGTTTTCCATCCGGACAGAGACTATAAACCCATGACTTTGGTATTTATTTATGTGTTGCCCCGATGGCATTCCCATTTTTCTGTGTTTGGGCCTTGCTTATCTCTGCGGTTGGTTCGCACGCACCTCTGTTATGTCCTCCACCAATAAAAAGGTGTTCGTCCCAACCGCGTATTTGTTTTTTTTCCTTGTACAATTTATGGAAATTTTTCCTAAATTCTTGGTTAAACAGTGAAATTCGTTTTCCAATAAAAATCTGGATGCCGCAAGCAAAGTAATGTCCTTTATGAGCATATTATTAGGCATTACTAGCAAATGGGATCAACATCATCTAATCTTTACCGTTTCAATATGGGCATCACCTGAATCTTTAACAAAGGACTTGTTCGATTTCATATTGAAAATGGAGAATCCATTACAAGTGAACTTCTTTGTTTTTAAGGAAGACGATAGGAGTTCTTTGGTTAACAAAACCCTGCGCCACAGAATGCAGCGCAAATTGACTACAATCAAAAAGATGTTTGTTTCAACCAGCTTTTGAAGTTCTTACCACTTTAGGAAGAACAACCGAACGGAGATCCCCAGGGTAAGGAGTCCAAAGTCCGAAACCACCACGCTTCTCCTTCATACTCTCTCCTTTCCCTTGAAGCTCAGAAAGATCCTTCACCCATTCAATATTTGAAGAATGCTCCCTGATATGAGGATGCAGTACAAACAGAGAATTGTACTCGCAATTCTGGAACATAAAGAATTTGAAGTCCCCCTTTAGCCTGTAAACGATGTATCCAAAGCTGAGTTGATCCCTCGGCGTTAACAAATGAACCTCATTGAACCATAGACAGCTGAAGAGATTGTTCAATGCCGTGTGCTCTCTTATTATCACAGCTCCTTCCGGAACATCTGTCATTCATATTCATTCGATCCTTATTGGCAGCAAGGCACTACTTTTGTCTGAGATAGAGATTAATATTTGATGTGGTCTTACCGCTAACTGTGTTCTTCTTGATACTCCACGGTTCTAATCCCTCGTACCGATATATTTTCATGTGAAGATCGATAAGAGGTCGGGCATATCGTTTCCTCCTCTTGCACGCATCCGCTTCCTCATATATACTGCGGTGATGTTTGTGTTGAGCAATGGCAAATGTATGCTTCCCACGCCATAAGTACCTGAAAAAGAAATGAAATGGAAACCATCATTATGTTATTGTTGAGCAATGCCAAATGTATTGGTTTTGGAAGGCACCTAGTCTTACATTTATATGCTACTCCTTTTCAAAGAAATGTGCATAGGCGCAGCATTCTTACCTTTCCAGAATAAGAAGAGGGTCAACTATAAGCTCCATTTTGCCATCAATCCAAATGCTGTACTGTGCTTCAGGGAACAACCTGTGAGTTAAAATCTTGGGGACCTTCCCATTCCTCCTTGGCTCATCATATGGTGGAGTTTTCAGTAGAATCAGACGCCAAACACCGACCCATAGCCCACCATCTCGATCACTCCTCACGGTAGTATTTTTCTTTATGAAATCAAATGAGACTTCATCTACCGTCATTACGAAACAGAAGAGATTCTTAGAACGTTCGCTTATGTTTGAAGGCTGGTGGGGCGCATCATACGCATCAAAAATCCCGGTTGCAACCACAAATCTACATTTTTTGACGTATTCTTTATCCAAAGGTGACATTTCAGCCCCACCACCTGGCATGAATCCGCAGTGGACCTGAAAAGTTTTTCATTGTGATGAAAATAATATTAGCACAGAAGCACCGAGGAAAGAGGTTCAGCCCAATCGGGAATGATATTGTATTTACCTTCATCTCAGGCTTCAGTTTAAAACTCTCTTCCCGATCAGACCATGTTATGTTGCCCCCAAAGAGTGGAAACTGAGACTCTGAGGACTCGTCCTCTGTTATGTAGGTTAGATTTCTGACAACTGTATCTGCAGTTTTTCCTCTTGGAATGAGCACCTTGTCTGGACCATAGGCCACAGGAATTGGACATCCTACATAAAATCATCTAAACAATGTTATAACAAATCATGATAATAAGGAAGAAGATCAGTAGATCGAGTTATGAACTTACGATGCTGTGGTTTGGGTACAAGTCCAATGGAGTCTAACATGACATAAAGTCTGCCTTCTTTGTTGCATATAGCTGCAAGGGAAGCAACAAGGATGCCATGATTAATTTACAACCCATACAACATCCGCTGTAGATTCAGTGAACAATACCGTACAGTTTGATTTCATAACAGCGAGATTGAATCTAAAATCGCGTTTTTCATGTCAAGATGGATAGCTGGAGGGAGAAAAGAGAAAATAAAGGTAAGGGGAAAACTTGTCCATAGGGCCTCACCTGAAAAGAATGCAACTGAAGACTGACATGACCAAATATGGAACAACAGCGCAACAAGAATAAGTAGCATCCACACAATGCCTCCAACAAGAATCAACCGAATAAAGCCTGTCTTCCAAATTATCTTCATTGTGTAATCAGTAGGCAATCTCCCTGAAGAGAAGAAGACACCTTCAGCACCTGCACCTTGCAGGGGGGAAATGGTTTTTGTCAAATATTTGCTTGCAACATCTGGTTTTACTCATCAAAGCATCATCCAAGGCCTTAAGACATCAAAGGAACATACATTTTGATACCTAACCATATAAGTGCATTCACTCTCCCACAGTCATCATCTATTTCCCAAGAACAAACCTTTATTATCTAACGAACCAAAGTATAGAGATATACTAATTCGTCATCGGCGTCGCTTGTTGGGTTTGTTTGTATAATAACCAAGCTCCAGATTTTAATAAAGAACAAGGGCTATGTGAAAAGGCCGTAAAAAGAGTAAGTAAACGTTGTTCAGCTAATTTGAATGCCGAAAAACAAAAGCTTTTACCAACCTTTAGATCGTGAGATTTCATTGCTGCGTTCTCCCCGGCGACTCAGCCGTAAAGAAAGTGATCGCTGAAATTCACTCATCATTGCCGGTATCTTCGATTTCTCATCACCACGAGCACAAACTGAAATATCTAAGCAGCTAACGGAAGGAAAATCAACCGAGACTAAGTTAGTTGTGTCGAGAGAGTCGATACGGGTTTGCAGGAAATACAAATGCAAAATGAGCAAGAGATTCTGTAGAACCCCAGATGCCAAAATTCGGGAAACAAGTTAACAAAATGGAAAACCCAGATCTCGCAAAGCGCAGGAAAGTCGAGAAGAAGACAGGATTTGGGAGAAGTTACCTCGAAATTCGTGGATCGTAAGATCAATCTCCCACTCAGTTGAAGCAAAAATAATATCTAGGGATTGGGGCAGAAGGCGAGTGAGTTACTGAATCTGGATTTAATGTCCCATGATCGAGAACTGGGTAGTATAGTATATGGTGAAAGATAGAGGGAGGGATCTCCTATTTATGTAATTCATCGGTTTGCTTTTTGGTTTACTATACCGAACCGAATTATATCGGTTAATGACTTTTCGGAAACGCTGTCGTTTACAAACCAACCGCCCTACTTGCTTGCTTGGGGTTTCCAAAAATTCAAACAATCGGAGAGAGGCAGGACGAGTGGAGAACGAAGCAGCAGCAAACAATAATTAATGAATAAATGGACTAGATTAGAGGCCCATATTCGTTATCGATAATTGCATCATATTATGGGCTTTCACAAGTTCATATTTACGCCCATAATGTACAACTATTAAATGGGCTTACAGGCCCATAACTCATCCTACAATTGCATTGTGATATGATGGGCTCTGATTTATTACGCTTAAAAATATTTAAATCATTGTTTTGCCAAAATAATATAAAATATCACCCCAATAATACCAAAATTAAAAACCGATAAATTCGTCCCGCGCAAAACCAAAAAAAGAAGCAAAAAGTAAACCCCGAGCCGAGGAGGTCCTTTTAATAAAAAGAGGGGGGCAGTTTAGTCGACTTCCTCGATCTTGGGACCGGCACCGCTTCCGGAGGAGGGAGGAACATGATCGTCGTCCATGCCGCCAGCCATGTCGGGAGCGCCGGCAGAGCCTTGGTACATCTTGGCAATGATAGGGTTGCAAATGCTCTCCAACTCCTTCATCTTGTCCTCCAGCTCGTCCACCTCGGCCAGCTGGTTCCCCTCCAGCCATTGGATGGCCTGCTCTATCGCCTCTTCTATCTTCTTCTTGTCCTCCGGCCCCAGCTTCTCCCCTATCTTCTCGTCCCTAATCGTGTTCCTCATGTTGTATGCGTAGTTCTCCAACGCATTCTTCGCCTCCACCTTCTTCTTCAGCTCCTCGTCCTCCGATTTGTACTTCTCCGCCTCCTGCACCATTCTCTCTATCTCTTCCTTCGACAGCCTTCCCTTGTCGTTTGTGATTGTGATCTTGTTCTTCTGCCCTGTTGTCTTGTCTTCTGCCGACACGTTTAGGATCCCGTTTGCGTCTATGTCAAAGCACACTGTGATCTGAGGGACTCCTCTCGGCGCTGGCGGGATTCCAGAGAGCTCAAACTTCCCGAGGAGGTTGTTATCTTTGGTTCTGGCTCTCTCACCCTCGTACACCTGGATCAACACACCGGGCTGGTTGTCCGAGTAGGTGGAGAAGACCTGCTCCTTCTTTGTGGGGATGGTTGTGTTTCTCGGGATCAAGACAGTCATGACACCACCGGCGGTTTCCAGACCGAGTGAGAGAGGGGTGACATCCAACAGAAGAAGGTCCTGAACCTTCTCATTGCCCTCACCACTGAGAATAGCAGCTTGGACAGCAGCACCGTAGGCAACAGCCTCATCAGGGTTGATTGATTTGCATAGCTCTTAACATGA